AGGGTAAGACTTCGTATTCCCACATATAGGGCATGGACAACACATAAAACCATTCTACTTATTTGCCTCAGCCACTTCGAGAAAATTATGCACGCCCTTAATGTACTCGGAGGTGTGTCTTGAACCGTACATCCATTGCCGGTTCATCTGTGTGCATTATATATAATTAAGTGTGTCAAAAATCATTACAGAACATCATGAATAGATAATTAAGTGACCAAATTAATAGAAGTTCATCATCACATTAAAACCAAAGTACATACATAGTTCTCATCTAACAACATAAAGCTCTGCAGAGCATCTAAATTAATTAAACCATACACTGAGACTATGTAAAACATTTCAATGCGAAAACAAATGCGATCATAATCGCAACCAATGTAACAACTGATCCAACGGCATAATGATACCAAGCCTCGGTATGAATGGCATATTTTCTAATCTTTCTAATCTTCAAGCGCATTGCATCCATCTTGATCTTGTGATCATCGACGACATCCGCAACATGCAACTCCAATATCATCTTCTCCTCCTCAATTTTTCTAATTTTTTCCTTTAACAAACTGTTTTCTTCTTCAACTAAATTTAACCTCTCGACAATAGGGTCGGTTGGAATTTCCGGTTCAACAACCTCCTAGATGAATAAAATCTATGTCACGTTGGTCGGCATAATTGTCATAAACAATAAATGAACCAATAGTTATGAAAAGATAATATATACCACATCCGAATCATAGACAGGGCGAGGGCCGACGGGGGCGGATACCAAAACCATCACACTATATAAGATGCAATAATAAAAGTAAGAAAATTATACAAGTATATATCTATCTAAACATACAAATAAGAATATTTTTCCTTTCAGAAAGAAGATAAGAACAAGAGGCTCACCACGGTGGTGCCGGCGATGAGATCGGTGCGGGTGATCAACGATGTTGAAGACGGGGACGGAGCGTGACAGACCGCTAAACCTAGACAAATATGGAGGAAAATGGAGCTTGGCGGTCGAGCTTGGAGAGGAGAAACCTTAAGTAGTGTGGCTCGGGCATTCCATCGAACACCTTGTGTGCATAGGAGGTGAGCTAGAGCACCACCAAGCCCTCTCCCCCTCGGCCAGAAAAAACAGAGCAGTGTGCTCTGCTCTTGCGCGAGGGGGGTATATATAGGCACCACCATTGGTCCCGGTTAGTCGCACGAACCGGGACTAAAGGTTTGCCTTCGGTCCCGGTTCATGCCTCCAACCGGGACCAATTGTGGTGGGGCAGGAGCGCGGCCCATTGGTCCCGGTTCGCCCCACCAACCGGGACCAAAAGGTCCAGACGAACCGGGACCAATGGCCCACGTGGCCTGGCCGGCCCCCGGGGCTCACGAACCGGGTCAAATGCTCCCATTGGTCCCGGTTCTGGATTGAACCGTGACTAATGGGCTGGACCGGCCTGGACCATTGCCCCCTTTTCTACTAGTGCACATCGATCGAAGAGCGGACCTCTAGGCCTTTCCAGTAGGGTAGGTCCCAAAATATAGATTTCTTCTTCCACATGAGTGCGTGTCCCTCAGCGTCACTCGGAACGGCTAGTCCACCGGGACCCTTTCCAAAGATTACGTGTAAATCATTGACCATAGCAAGTACGTATTCACCGGTACGCATGGCAGGCTTCTTCCGGTGATCTGCCTCACCTTTGAAATGGTTGCCTTTCTTTCAACATTGATGGTTGGTCGGAAGAAATCGACGATGGCCCAGGTACACATTCTTCCTGCAGCTTCCCAGGTATATACTTTCAGTGTCAACTAAACAGTGCGTGCATGCGTGGTATCCCTTGTTTGTCTGTCATGAAAGGTTACTGAGATCGGGCCAATCGTTGATGGTTACAAACAGCAACGCGTGCAGGTTAAATTCCTCCTGTCTGTGCTCTTCCCACACACGTACACCGTTTCCATTCCACAGCTGTAAAAGTTCTTCAACTAATGGCCTTAGGTACACATCAATGTCATTGCTGGGTTGCTTAGGGCTTTGGATGAGAACTGGCATCATAATGAACTTACGCTTCATGCACATCCAAGGAGGAAGGTTATACATACATAGAGTCACGGGCTAGGTGCTGTGATTGCTGCTCTGCTCCCCGAAAGGATTAATGCCATCCGTGCTTAAACCAAACCATACGTTCCTTGGGTCATGTGCAAACTCAGCCCAGTACTCTCTCTCGATTTTTCTCCACTGCGACCCGTCAGCAGGTGCTCTCAACTTCCCGTCTTTCTTACGGTCCTCACTGTGCCATCGCATCAACTTCGCATGCTCTTTGTTTCTGAACAGTCGTTTCAACCGTGGTATTATAGGAGCATACCACATCACCTTCGCAGGAACTCTCTTCCTGCGGGGCTCGCCGTCAACATCACCAGGGTCATCCCGTCTGATCTTATACCGCAATGCACCGCATACCGGGCATGCGTTCAAATCCTCGTATGCACCGCGGTAGAGGATGCAGTCATTAGGGCATGTATGTATCTTCTGCACCTCCAATCCTAGAGGGCATACAACCTTCTTTGCTGCGTACGTACTGTCGGGCAATTCATTATCCTTTGGAAGCTTCTTCTTCAATATTTTCAGTAGCTTCTCAAATCCTTTGTCAGGCACAGCATTCTTTGCCTTCCACGGCAGCAATTCCAGTACGGTACCCAGCTTTGTGTTGCCATCTTCGCAATTGGGGTACAACTCTTTTTTGTGATCCTCTAACATGCGATCGAACTTCAGCTTCTCCTTTTGACTTTTGCATTGCATCCTTGCATCGACAATGACCCGACAGAGATCATCATCGGGCACATCGTCTGGTTCCTCTTGATCTTCAACAGCTTCCCCTGTTGCAGCATCATCGGGCACATCGTCTGGTTCCTCTTGATCTTCAGCAGCTCCCCCCGTTGCAGCATAACCGTATTCAGGGGGCACATAGTTTTCATCGTCCTCTTCTTCTTCGCCGTCTTCCATCATAACAACTATTTCTCCGTGCCTCGTCCAAACATTATAGTGTGGCATGAAACCCTTGTAAAGTAGGTGGGTGTGAAGGATTTTCCGGTCAGAGTAAGACTTCGTATTCCCACATTTAGTGCATGGACAACACATAAAACCATTCTGCTTGTTTGCCTCAGCTACTTCGAGAAAATTATGCACACCCTTAATGTACTCGGAGGTGTGTCTGTCACCGTACATCCATTGCCGGTTCATCTGCGTGCATTATATATAATTATGTGTGTCAAAAGTAAGAAAATCAGACAAGTATCAGAAAGAAGATAAGAACAAGAGGCTCACCACGGTGGTGCCGGCGACGAGATCGGCACGGGCGATCAACGGCGGTGAAAACGGGGACGGGGCGTGACGGACCGCTAAATCTAGACAAATCTCGAAAAAAGATGGAGGTCCGAGATCGAGCTTCGAGAGGAGAAAGCTTAACTAGTGTGGCTCGGGCATTTCATCGAACACCTCATGTGCATAGGAGGTGAACTAGAGCACCCAAATGCCCTCTCCTCGCCGGATTCAAAAAACAGAGCACTGGAGTGCTCTACCGCGGCGGTGAGTATATATAGGCAAGTTATTTGTCCCGGTTCATGGCATGAACCGGGATAAAGAACCCCCTTCTGTCCCGGTTCAAGCCACGAACCAGGACCAATGGTTGTGGGCCAGGAGCGAGGACCATTGGTCCCGGTTCGTGGCTTGAACCGGGACAAATGGTTCCACACGAACCGGGACCAATGCCCACGAGGCCCCGGCCGGCCCCCTGGGCTCACGAACCGGGTCTAATACTCCCCATGGGTTTCTTGAAGAACCGAGATTGATGGGCTGGCCAGGCCCAAACGGTAGCCCTATTTTCTACTAGTGTCTCCTCTCTCATTCGCTCTATACCGGCACAGAGAATCGGGCAAGGCTCACGGTTCCCGTCGCCGAAGACGAGGTTATGAGGTGCCCTCGGGTGATTTAACAAGGCAGGGAGGGAGGAGAGTTGAATCTTGAATGCCATGATCACTGGGCTCAAGCTCGGGTTACCGCCGGTTACGGTCACCAACGATGGCCTGGATGTCTAGGGGCTAAAGGTGGCGCACGTTGATAGGACCGCAAAGCTGTGGAGGTCGTGCTACAGGAGGCTGCGACGAGCAGCTGGTGCTGGATATGTTTGTTCCCGAGGACGCCCGGCTTATTCTGGAGTTCCCGTTACAAGATGGTGTTGACGTACTTCATTGCTTGGCATGTTGACAAGCATTCAAATTAAAGGTCCAGACAAATGTCATGGCACACTGGCATGAGCTCGAGTAAGTTTGATAATTACCGATGGAAGCTTCCATTCCATGCACGGGAAATACTCTATGTTTCAATTAAATGCTAAACTAAGGCTGGCACCTGAATCATCAAATGCAAGTGTACGATTTTTCACTTCTCACCGAGCAAATATGAATCTCAACTGATAGGATAGGAAGACTGAACGAACTGCATTTTCTTATTTCTATTCTAGCTATTTAAGACACCATTTCTTGCGTTTTCAAGACACCCGGTAAAATCAAACTTAATGTATTATATATATACTGAATTTGCTCTGATCATGAAGGGAAGCAGCACTTATTATTACTACTTCCAACCATGTAAATCAACTGTATTACCATTTAAGTGTTTATTGCAGGGAGAAGAGAGCACGAAGCACAATAAAACAGAAACAGTAAGAAGACAGAAAATGTAAGCAAAGATCATTAAGCAGGCAAGCTTGCTTCAACGTGTTTCCAGGAAAGCAAATGGCAAATGAACCACAAGGCAAGTGCTAATTAACCGAAGCAAGCCAATGTATCTACATCATCCCAGTCGGCTAATTGTGTCCAGAAATTCAATAATAAAGGGGAGTTGGCAAACTAAATGATTAACTCCTCTTACAGGACTACTTCCCAGATGACCAGTGCACGCTGTGTAGATGGCTGATCTTCAGGTGAAGCCAAAGAACCTTCAGCAAAAGGGCCATTCCCGCATCTCAGCAAACCGGGATACAATTGTAGGTACCTGTGTAGCAATCAATACCATGAATCAAACTAGTCTGTACTGTCCGTTCATGGAAAAGATGAAGTTATACAATCTGACATTTTTTATGATTCAAAAATTAACTATCAGCTTAACCATTGTGAAAATCATACCTATGAAAAACTCCAAAGTTGAATCATCACAACATTATTGGAAAAATAGCAATATAAGCAAAGAATAGTAACACAAAGAGTAGAAGACAGTCAATTTGTAGTGCCACGGCTTCAACTTCTATTGTTATCACATTCACATCTTCAAGTTTTTTTACTGCATCTTATCTCAGTAAAACAAGTGATCATGGCTATTTAGATATAAACAAATATATAGCCTGAAGATACAGAATGAAATTCAACTTATTTATCTAACGGAAAAAATTGACTCGCCATTTCAGCAGGATCATCATAAAAATTGACAAAATGAACAATTGTCTTATAATTTTAAAACCAACTAATTGTTATGGACTTAAGATTATTATCACAATAAGCAGAGATAACAATGTTGAATAAAAGAAATAGCTCGCTTTAAGCTTCTAACTATGCATACATAGGATACATCTATTTGATATTTAAGTTACTTCAAGCTAGTTTTTAATGAAGTTGTCTCCAACTGTTATGTATCTCATCTTCTAAAAAATAACTTCGCCGCTACACTAAACTCACGAAAAACTTTCCTAGCTCTGACTTAAACCACAGTGTCCAACGGTAGTGTTAATAAACATATGCGAATATTAAGAACAACTTGGCATCATATGTATTTACAATACAGCAGAATGATGCCATCAAGTCGCCTGGGTACAGAAACAGAACTGTTCATGTATCTCACCTTGAGAAAAACTATACTGCATGAATGCACTAGCACTACCATTATACAGTTCCGTACTGCATGTCAGTTGTTACATAAATAAAATTTTCAACTTGGCCACAGAAACAGAACTGGCAGCATCAGCTAAACTGGATATCAGAGGCTAATGTTTTTCCAGATCATAAGAATTACATAGACACCACAACACAACCATTGGGACAGAACACGACGGAACAAAACTGGTATGTATTGAAGAGATCATATCAAGTAGCAAAAGAATAATTGATATGCCACTACTTAAAATTGTTAGTTTAACATGAAAGGAAGTGAGAGGCATTCCATGAACCAATTATCAAAAAGTAACTTGGTTTTGTTATACCGACAGTGCAAAGGCATGCTATTACCTGCTGCATAGACACTTTCAAATGGATAATAGCGATGGCATATTTTGGTGTCAAAAAGTTTCTTGAACTCTAATGGCTCAAGCTTGAGCGTGAAGAGGCTGGTAGCGGTCTTCAGGAGCACCAAATGAGTGTCCTCAGCAATCCCCTCTATAATTACAACGTCCGCCCTTGGATCAAGAGAAAGTAGCTTGTCCAGTTCAATAGTTGTTCCCATCCCCCATGAAGCAACACCCTGACAGTCAGTGTTCCTCTTCCATAACTGGGCGGTGAAGCCTGACACATAGAGGATACCCAGCTTACCATCATCTGCCGGCATGAGTTTGAGCCACATGGCACCAGACAAATACACTGGCATCCGTGTCACGGCTAGGCTCTCCCTCTCCAAATCAAACTCGAGGATATGCGTAGTTCCAGAGAGCATCCAGTAAAGAGCATGCCCAACCAGCACAGCGGGCTCCATAGAAACATATGTCAGAAAATTCTTCTTGGATATGGATGTAATCGGCGTTGTGATGAGATTGCCCCACAACCTGGTCTCTGATGAGTAAACGCGGGCGAGCGCTCGTCCATCGTGTATCGCTACCAAGACAACCTGGAAGTGGACGTCCCCGGCAGATGAGCGGAGCACCGCCCCGTTGATCATGTACTTGTTCACACCCAACCCCGGCGGGTGGGCTATGTAGTGCTGGTGGCCTGTGACGGGATCCCACACCATGAACTGCAGCCGTGTCTTGCCGAAGATTAATACGAGGCCATGGCGGCACCCGAGGAACCAGAGGTCGCCGCGGTCGGACTGCAAGGAGAGGCGCCCGGGCGGAACACGATCGGTGGCCTCAAGAGTAGGCTCGAAGGATATGCCTTCGGCACCTGTGTGGAAGCAGCCGAGTAGTGGAGGGTTGCGGCGGTGGTGGAGGCGGAAGCGACAGGAGAAGGCTGGATCGGAGGCGAGGCTGCGCCAGCGCTTGCAGACGGCTGAGGCGCGGGGGAGGGAGGACGGGAGCGGCGGGAGGCGGAGGAGGATCTCGGAGAGCAGGTCGTCGTCGTCCAGCGGCCCCGCCGCCGCCGCTGGCAACATCTCGCCCTCCTCACAGCTCATGCGGCAGGGGGGAGGGGGATGGTGAAGCAGCCGCCACGCTGGGATGACCTAAAGCGACACGGCCAACACGAAGGGGGACTCAAATTAACTAAGCCCACTGGAAGAAGAAAGCCCACGACCGCAGCTCCCTATGGACCAACAATGAGGCCCGGCACGCTGAGGGCACACACGATTTTGCCTTTTTATTTTAATTTTTTGTGTGCCTGTGGCTTTCAATTCTAAGTTCCCACTTGCTTTAACCTTTGTGGTTCCGGAAAATTTTCAAACCATTTTTAGGATATATATAGATGTGTTTTCAGCTTGAAGCCAGAAGATTCCATCAATATGTTGCGGATCATTCATCCATAAATCAGAGTTCAAGTGTCGTCAATCGCAATGGTGATATTTTCCGCCACCTTAGGGTTTCCTTTCCTTTCTTTGAGTGGAGTGTTTAGCATATGCACTATGCCTTTACGTGCCAAGATTTTCATTTATGAAGAAAAAACCCTCATCCGCTTTCTAATATTTTGCTTCAATTTTCAAAGCTCAATTTTAGTAGTTTGGTACTGTTGATAGATAACGAAGACTTCCGTTTTTAGTACTAGAGTGGAGGATCTTGCTTGGATGGACAGGATCTTTGCCTCCTAATTCCTAAACTAAGGTCGACACTTGACTTCTCCGTAGCTGAATCTTTGACTGCAGGGTAGTGTAACTCTTCAGTTCTCACTCTGCTAGTTATTAATTTGTACCGTATTACGCTTTACTCCACAAGACCTATAATAAGCAGATTTGGAGTTTTTCCTATACCACATCAGAAGACTGGTAGAATCACAAGACTGAGTGAACTCTTCTTTCTGTTCTAGCTATCTAGACCTTTTCTTATAGTACTGAATTAGAATACCAGCATAGATCTTCGTATACTCGTATTTTTGTATGGCTGCTAGTGGCCTGATGCATTGTGTGGTTGTTATTTGTGTCAACTTCAGTGTCAGTACAATCTAATATAAATCAATGCATTGTGTGGCCTGATGCTGTATGGATTGTGCATGGTTTATGGCCTGATGGCTGCTACTTGAGTCAACATTCAGACTGTTGTTGCTTGCTATAGGCTTTGGATACATTACTTTTGGTCTTGATTTTTTGGGAATCTGAAAGAGAGCAGTTTTTTGTAGCTGGAGCTTCATAGGACCTCATATCATATCCGTTCATTCTGCTGGAATTTTGTCTATTTGGGCCTAGCCCAATAGCAGTTTCAGAAATTCCTAATAAATCCTAGAGGCCCACGCAGCCCATTAATTCGTGCAAGGCAAGAGGTTTTTTTTTGAGACAATCTCGCGAAGCTTTATTTAACCGGACCCAATGTTTGTAGGTACAAAAGAGAGATCGCCGGGGTGTCCTAACCAAACTTGGCGGCCCACCCCTAATCTCAAAACATACTTCGCTAAATTGTGAGCCTCGAAATTCGAGCTCCTAAACTCATGAATAAAATTACACGCTAAGAAAGAAGAGCCATGGTCTATGATTTCATGTAAAACAGCACCATATCTGTGCAAGGCAAGAGGTGGAACTAAAGTTTAGTCCCACATTGCTAGTTTAGAGGGAGTTGGACCTCTTTATAAGGGAGGCTCCTTCCCCACTTGTATGAGCATGAGAACAAGAGGGACATCCACGCGCGCTCCTCCTCCGCCGCCCGACCCGACGCGACTCGGATTGCGGGAATGAGCCGAGCCGATATGATATGTGGGACGCACTCGAGGCCAAGTTTGGGGTCTCGGATGCCGGCACTGAGTTGTACATCATGGAGCAATTCTATGATTACAGGATGACTGAAGAGCGCTCCGTGGTTGAGCAGGCTCATGAGATACAGTCATTTGCTAGAGAACTTGAGCACTTCAATTGCATTATGTCGGACAAGTTTGTTGCCGGGGGTATCATCACTAAGCTTCCTCCTTGATGGAGGAACTTTGCTACCTTACTGAAGCATAAGAGACAGGAGTTTTCCGTTCCGGATCTCATTGGTACTCTTGATGTGGAAGAAAAGGCAAGAGCAAAGGACACACGTGCTCGAGGTATTGCGGGAGGATCTAGTGCCAATCTGGTACAGAAGAAAAACTTCCAGTCCCACAAGTTCAAGAACAAGGGCAAGCTTGATGGTAAAGCAAAGTTTGATGGGAAGAACAAGGCTGTGCAGCACACGAACTTCAAGAAGAAGAATGACAAGAAGAAAGGTGTTTGTCATGTGTGTGGGGATCCTAATCATTGGGCTCCAAGTTACCCTAATCGCTATGACAAGCGTCATCCTGGGAAAGGCGGCAAGACCGCTAATGTTATCATTGGAGACACTGACAAGAAGGATGCTGGGTATGGTATATTTCCCACTATTCTTTCAGTATGTCATTCTCCTGATTGGTTGATTGACACGGGTGCTAATGTGCATGTATGCGGTGATATTTCCATGTTTTCGTCTTATCAGACTGCAGGGACTTCAACCATGCTGATGGGCAACGGTTCAAGTGTTTCTGTTCGTGGTGTTGGCAGGGTCGATCTGAAGTTTACTTCGGGGAAGATTGTGCGGCTGAAGAACGTGCATTATGTCCCCTTCGTCAATAAAAATCTTATTAGCGGATCTCTTCTGTGTAGAGATGGCTATAAGCTTGTCTTTGAGTCGAATAAATTTGTAATATCCAAGTATGGAACCTTTGTTGGTAAAGGCTATGAGTTAGGAGGCCTGTTTCGTTTATCCTTGTCAGACGTTTGCAATAAAGTTGTTAATCATATTTGCAACAATAGTGAATCAAATGTGTGGCATTCACGTCTTTGTCATGTTAACTTTGGTTGCATGTCGCGATAGCGAAGTTGAACTTAATCCCTAGTTTCACCACTGTCAAGGGATCTAAGTGTCAAGTGTGTGTGCAAGCTAAGCAACCTCGTAAGTCTCACGTGACTGCGGAGACGAGAAATCTTGCACCACTAGAACTTATACATTCAGATCTATGTGAAATGAATGGTGTTTTGACAAAAGGTGGAAAGAAATATTTCGTGACGTTAATTAACGACTCCACTAGATATTGCCGTGTGTATCTTCTGAAATCTAAGGATGAGGCTTTGACCTTTTTCAAGATCTATAAAGCTGAAGTGGAAAACCAACTTGATCGAAAAATCAAGAGGCTTAGATCCGCCCGTGGTGGAGAGTATTTTTCCAATGAATTTGATGCTTTTTGTGCGGAACATGGTATAATCCATGAGAGGACGCCTCCCTACTCATCTTAGTCAAATGGGGTGGCCGAAAGAAAGAACCATACTCTAACTGATTTGGTTAACGCCACGTTAGACACATCGGGTCTCTCCAAGGCATGGTTGGGGGAGGCGATATTGACAGCATGCCATGTCCTAAATCGAGTCCCCACAAAGAACAAAGAGACAACTCCATTCAAGGAATGGGAGAAGAAAAGGTTAAAACTCTCTTATCTGTGAACATGGGGTTGTTTGGCGAAAGTCAATGTTCCAATTCCAAAGAAGCGGAAGCTTGGACCAAAGATTGTGGATTGTGTTTTCCTGGGATATGCTTTTCATAGCATTGGCTATAGATTCTTGGTTGTAAAATCTGAGGTACCTGACATGCATGTCGGTACAATCATGGAGTCGAATGATGCGACTTTCTTTGAAGATATCTTTCCCATGAAGGATATGGCTACCTCATCTAATCAGGAGATGCCTAGTTCATCGAATCAGGAACCAATTACAATTACCGAACCTGCCATTTTGATGGAACACTTTGAAAGTCCTGTGGAGGAGAACAATGAAGTTCCTACTAGGAGCAAGAGACAGAGGACAACAAAATCCTTTGGTGATGATTTTCTTGTGTATCTCATAGATGATACGCCCAGTTCTATTTCGGAGGCCTATGCATCAGAAGATGCTGACTACTGGAAGGAAGCGGTTCGTAGCGAGATGGATTCCATCTTGGTGAATGAAACTTGGGAGATAACTGATCGTCCTTATGGGTGCAAACCTATAGGATGCAAATGGGTATTCAAGAAGAAGCTTAGGCCTGATGCTACTATTGAAAAGTACAAGGCTCGGCTCGTGGCTAAGGGTTATACCCAAAAGGAAGGTGAAGACTTCTTTGATACTTACTCACCTGTGGCTCGACTGACCACTATTCGAGTTCTACTTTCACTAGCTGCCTCACATGGTCTTCTTCTTCATCAAATGGATGTTAAGACTGCTTTCCTAAATGGAGAGTTGGATGAGGACATTTATATGGAACAACCAGTGAGGGAAATATGCCCTAGAGGCAATAATAAAGTTATTATTTATTTCCTTATATCATGATAAATGTTTATTATTCATGCTAGAATTGTATTAACCAGGAAACATGATACATGTGTGAATACATAGACAAACATATAGTCACTAGTATGCCTCTACTTGACTAGCTCATTAATCAAAGATGGTTATGTTTCCTAACCATAGACATGTGTTGTCATTTGATTAATGGGATCACATCATTAGGAGAATGACGTGATTGACATGACCCATCCCGTTAGCTTAGCACATGATCGTTTAGTATTCTGCTATTGCTTTCTTCATGACTTATACATGTTCCTGTAACTATGAGAATTATGCAACTCCCGTTTACCGGAGGAACACTTTGGGTACTACCAAACGTCACAACGTAACTGGGTGATTATAAAGGAGTACTACAGGTGTCTCCGAAGGTACATGTTGAGTTGGCGTATTTCGAGATTAGGTTTTGTCACTCCGATTGTCGGAGAGGTATCTCTGGGCCCTCTCGGTAATACTCGTCACTTAAGCCTTGCAAGCATTATAACTAATGAGTTAGTTATGAGATGATGTATTACAGAACGAGTAAAGAGACTTGCCGGTAACGAGATTGAACTAGGTATTGGATACCGACGATCAAATCTCGGGCAAGTAACATACCGATGACAAAGGGAACAACGTATGTTGTTATGCAGTTTGACCAATAAAGATCTTCGTAGAATATGTAGGAACCA